TGAGGAGGCGTGCGGCCAATTTTGAAAGGCACGACGGCCATTGGCCGCGGTGCCGCGGCTTATGTCTAGCCCTGTATGTTTGCTGTCTTATGTATATAATTATGTAGTACTGTATTTTGTTGCCACTATGGGTCACTGGTGCAACGATTCGAGAGTTTTTTTTTTCTTTCGCCACTCTCAGAGAGATTTTCTTGTTGTTGTGTGTTGACCTAATAAAGAGAAGAAGAGGAGTTCTCTGACTCCGTCTCTTTTTCAAGTTTATCGCTGTTGATGCTGCAAATTGTTCAACACACACCCACCACACCATGGGAGCCAGTGGCTGAGCCAGATCCCACAGAGCTGCCAGAGGTCACACCAGAACCTGGGCCTGCTGGGAACCTGAGGTGCAACAAGCAAGAGACAGGAAGCCCCTGAGTATTACAGCTAGTCTAGTGTTAACCCTGGAAGCAAAGGACAGAACAAATCCCTTTGGGGTTAAGCCAGCTGTTTTTTGGAGCTAAAAGTGAAAAAGGAGGACTGGGGGGGGGGGGTCATCATGCTGGTGGATTGATTGGACAAATTTGTATATTTGTAAATTGTTATACATTTCATTTTAAGCAGAATTGTTATATAAATGGTTTGGTATGAACATTTGATCTATGTGTTTTCTTATTAAAAAAAGTCCAGACCAGTTGGGGGCCCCTAGATTGTGGGACCCAGTTCCAGCCCCCCCCCCTCCCTAAATTCCAGCTCCAGATAGTTATGGTAATGAAGTTGAAATCTGTGTGAAATCATGTTAATCACTTTACAAGGGGTAACCCCTGAATGTTACTGAGTAACTGGGAGCTACATGCCAAACCGTCCCTCTTGTCTGCTACCTGCTGTCTCTCTGTGCTGCCACTAGATGTCACTGCTTCTCTTATACTGTCATAAGCAAGCTGATGTCAGGACGCCGCCCTAATCAGTTAGGGCATTGCAGGAAATTCTGGAGCAAGGTTCACTCTGCGGGGCCTTCATGGAGGAAGGGCTTGGGTTGTCAGGGAAGGGGGCATTGATGTTGCAAGGAGGTGACGTTGTAAGTGGGGAGGAGTTGAAGATGGCGGAGCTGGGGAAGTTTGCCGGGGTGTGGAACCAGCTTCAAGTTGGTGCGGGTACCTTGTAGTCAAGAAAATGTAGGGTAGTCAAGTGGTGCTTCCTAAAGCTGTGGTGCAATAAGTTCTTACACAACTCCATAATGAATTAATGGGTGGTCATTTAGGGGTACAGAAATTGTGAAACAAGGTAAAAGACTGCTTTTTCTGGCCAAGTTGGTCTGGGGATGATAAGAGGTGGTGTGTTGAATGCAGAGAAAGTGCTGCATGTAAAACTGTAGGTCAGGCACCTTGTGCCCCTTTACAACCCACTGTTACATCACATCCTCATGAGCGGATTGTCTTAGACATTATGGGGCCCCTACCAGAGACCCTTATGGGGAATAGATACATTCTGGTTATTGGGGACAACTTTTCAAAGTGGACAGATGCCTTTTCTATGAAGAATGAAGAGGCATGTACAGTCGCAAAAATCTTGACAGAGGAATGGGTATGTAGGTATGGGACACCACATACCATTCACTCTGACCAAGGGAGGAATTTTGAATCAGGGTTGTTTAAAGAACTGTGCTGGTTGTTGGGCATACATAAAACCAGGACAAGTCCGTATTCACCTCAGTTGGATGGAATGGTATAAAGATTTAATCGAACACTGGTATGTATGTTATCCTCTGTTGTGGATGCGAACTGTAGTGTTTTGCATTAATGACGAATTCAGACAACGGTACGTCTTGAGCCGGCAGGCGCATCTTTTTTACTGAACTGTTTCCCCAGCAGCCTTCAAGCAGACATCAATCCCCGGTACAGAAAGCCCAGAGGACCACACTACATCTCCCCTTCCCCAAAGTAGTCACAGAACCATAACAAAATGGCATGGACTATTTAAAAAGGAATGTTTTATAAATGTTAAAAAATTCCTACATTTCGTATACATATAATTAACACACACACACATACACTCACCTAAAGGATTATTAGGAACATCATACTAATACAGTGTTTGACCGCCTTTCTCCTTCAGAACTGCCTTAATTCTACGTGGCATTGATTCAACAAGGTGCTGAAAGCATTCTTTAGAAATGTTGGCCCATATTGATAGGATAGCATCTTGCAGTTGATGGAGATTTGTGGGATGC